ATACATATATATATATGTATACATATGTGTATATATATACACACACACATATGTATATAAAAAGTATAGAGGTTATAAACAATGGTTTTTCCTTTTAGTAAATTCAAAGATTTTATGTGTAAAGCAACAATAATAGTGATTTGCCCCTAAATCTTTAAGGCTTTACATTTATAGGTGAGAGTTGAAATGTCACTCAGCAAAATCAGTGAAGGTGGTTGAAGCTGATTTCCAATACAGTAACTTTCACTGCAAGGTTAGTGTATTTTCACAGGAAACATTGGTTTTAAATCAATTATAAAATGTGTAAACTAATTTTTATTTGAATCAATTTTCAAAGGAAAATGCAAAAAAAAAATTAAATTCAGGGCCACTGTGTTCATGTGTTATTTTATCAAAACATGTAACTTTCTTCCACGAATAAACACTGAAAATACTTAGCACAATGAGAGAGACACAAACCTGCTTTAGACAGCTATGTACACAGTTCTAATTATTGTTTATTATTTTTCTAAATATATTAACAGAGATATTCATATATATTACATATACTCTTCAAACTCTTTTCACCTCTTGCCTACCATTGCCTTCCAAAAATAGTTGACAGAAGTAACTTTCTTAGCTGAATAATCAATTGTTTTTTACACAGATACTCACTTATTGCCTATGTATGTGCCTGCCAGTGTAGAAAGAACTAGACATCTTCATGTACGTTTCCACCCATCAAGCATTCATTCCACCCAGAAATGCAGTTCTACAAACTGTCTTCTCATGATAGGCCTGTTACCTTTCCTGTCCTTGTGTGTGCGTTTTCCCAGGTGTCTTCCAAACGATTTCGGCATTCTTTACACAACTAATTGTGCTTAATTTTGGCCTCACCCCACACAGACTAACTGATTTGTTCCTTATTTAACAGAGGCTTCTTGTGTCCCCAGTTACATTATAAACCCACAGAGGACCGATGTCTCACTGTTTTATGGCTCCAACAGTGATACGGAGCAACACCAGTGTGGCTGGCTGACTAATGGCTCCAAGATACGCCGAGCTCAAACTCCAGGATCAGTGTTACCTGATACAGCAAAAAGGACTTGCAGATGTTACTAAGGATCTTGAGACGGGGAGATGAGCCTGGACTACCTGGGCAGACCCTGCGTGTAGTCATAGGGTCTCAAAAAGGTAGGTAGAGATGTGATTACCATAGAGAATAAGGAAATGTGATCACAGAAGCAGAGAACAGAGTGATGAGCTCAGGAGCCCAGGAGGGCTGGAGCAGCCACGAGGGGGGGAGGCAAGGAACACACTCTCCCGGAGCCTCCAGAAGGAACCCGTCTTGCTGACTCCTTCATTTTATCCCACTTGTCTCATTTTGAACTTCTAACTTCCAGAAACACAGAGATATGAATCTGTGCTGTTTTGAGCCTCTAAATTTGTGTTGCAATGTCAACAGCGAACTACTATATATATACTCAGATATAATTAAGTATATAGTAGTATCTAATAACCATTTAATTACCTTTTGGACTTCAAGCCAGGGTAGGGACTTTGGGCAAGATCTCGTCTACCATTCTGCAAACACCAGTAGATTCTTTCTCATCACCTGCTGAACTTGAAATAAAAGTAGTATACTCTACTTAGTTAAAATGCAATATAATTTATGTTAGAACGGAAATTTTTTCTTGAATCATTTCCCCATTTCTGTATTGACTGATGGTATTTAGACAGACAATAGACTCAGTTTACAATGTGTTTATTACTAAAAAACAATGCTTAAAATTATATACATGGAAAAGGGGAGGCAATAGACTATATTTTGCTAGTCTTGCAGTTTATTCTTCAATCTCTATTACTTTATTTTCTTTCCATTCTTACGGTGTCGCCCAGATTAGCATAGGACCTTTCTATTATAAAAAATAATTTTCTTGGAATGATGGTGTTTTAATTAATATTTCAGAAAGCATATACTTTGTCTTTTCTAAAAATGGGAATGATTTATGTATGAGCAAATGTTTGATGAGAACATAGAAGATAAATGATCCCATCTGAACAACAGCTTTTTTTGAGACATGTACATCCCTGATGTCACTTTATTATCTGGATGGCCACATAGAGCCAGAAAACGTACCATGTGTGGCAGGCCTCACTGCACTGACAACCAAAGGCCTCACTGCATGATGTTTATAAAAACTGAAGGTTTTGATATATTTTATTCAAACTCTGTTATGAGATCAACTGTGTCTGCTCAAAACTCGTATGTTGAAGCCTTAACCTCCAGGACCTAAGACTGACTGTATTTGGAGACAGGACCTTTAAAAAGCTAAAGTTAAAATGAGGACTTTACAATGGGCCCTAATATGATCTGAATGGTGTCTTTTTAAGAAGAGGAGATTAGGACACATAGAGAGACACCAAGGGGGCACACACACAGAGGGAAGACAGTGCCGAGACAGCAGGTGGGTGGCCAGCCATGTGCAAATCAAGGAGAGGGGCATCAGGAAACCAGTCCTGCTGGCACCCTGATCGTGGACTTCTAGGCTCCAGCACTGTGAACAAATAAACTTCTATTGTTCCAGTCTATGGTAATTTGTTATGGGAACCCTAGCAAACGAATACAGAATCATAAGATACTTTATGTGTTATTCCAGCAATGATAAATTTCACTAATATACATGTCGTCTTTTCTTAAATCTCTAGGTGTTCACAGTTCATCTAGTCAGAATGTCAGCAGATTTTTTTTTAATTGAAGTAGAGTTGGTTTACAATGTTATGTTAATTTCTGGTGTACAGCATATTAATTTAGGTACATATATATATATTCCTTTTAATATTCTCTTTTCATCATAGGCTACAAGGTATTGAATATAGTTCCCTGCGCTCTACAGTAGGACACTGTTGTTTCTCTATTTTATATATAGTAGTTAGTATCTGTAAGTCCCGAAATCCCAATTTCTCCTTCCACCCCCAGATTTTCTTGTTAATATGTATTAAAAGTGCTGCTAGTATTTCAGACAGCTATGTGTACACATACACAAACATACACAAATTTGGAGAAATATTAGTCCTCTCTAGCCAGTTCTAAAACATTAGCCCATTCTACCAGGTGACGACTTATGCCGACAAGTACATCTTGGAATCCTCCCTCTTGCAGGGTCATCCCTGCCACTGTGCCCCAGCCTGTGGGCACCCGTACTGGGCTGCCACAGGCCAAGTGACTAAGTGAAGACACAGCCCCACCCCCCGCAGACTGGCCGCCTTAAGACCTGCTGAGCCCACAGCCACCATGGACACGACCAGCCCACCAGGGGGCCCAGGACCTGGCGCCACACACCACTGTGCAGTCACTAGACCCAGGGATGCCCAAGGACCTGCAGCCAGAGACCCCAGGACCCAGCTCCACATAACAGTAGACTGGCATCAGCCCCAGAATCCCCTGGGCTCTTGCCTGTTCTAGTCTTGGGGTTAGCCCACCCCAGCAGCAGACCAGCACCAGTCCTGGGACCAGCTGAGCCTCCACCCTGCCCACTATCAAATCAACACAAGCTTAGGGATGACCTGAACTCCACAGCCAGCTGTATCAGAAACTGGCCCTACCCACCAGTGACCTCACACCTGCTCAATAAGCACCAAACTACTTAAAACTGCTTACAGCCTAAGATAGTGGCCATTTTAGTAGATTGCATGTGGCTGATTTCATGGTCCACATTCTCAATCTCTGTTCATCTTTAAGACGAGCATCCAAGATAGGTAACTAGTTTTATAGCCTTGGCCAAATTGCTTTATCTAGCGCTGCCTCGGTTTCCTCACCTGTAAACATTACCTCGTTTGCAGTGAGAGACACTAGCTCACAGGAGGTGGTGAGGGTGTGAGGAACTAGTGTTTGTGAAACATTTAGAACAGCATCTGGCACAGCATAAGCACTGCATTAATGTGAGCTTCCATAATGTTTAATACTCCGGGCAAGAACATGGGCTAAAGCACTAATGCATTAACAAGCATTTTGATCATCTGTTAGATGGCAGGCACCATATCAGATGCTGTGAAGGAAACAGTGCCAGATACAGTCTGTGTCTTTAAAAAGCTCAGCCTAGAATGGATTAGCGCGACGAGTAACAAACAAACGTCCATGTCATGTGAGCAGTGCTCAGGGGAATATGTACAATGGGAATAATAATAACAACTATTTCTAAGACTGCAATGAAGCTTCTAGGTGATGATTCCTAAAAATATGTCAGGACAGTATTTGGCATGCAGTAATGACTTAATGAAAGTTAGCGCTTATCCTGGGGTTACCATTTTCCTTTTGTTTGTTTCATTCCATGCTTGTTTTTCCACTAGAGCATGAGTTCTTCTGGGGGGACCTCATCCTTAATCAACATTTTTTGGAAAATATATGTCTGATACTCTACTAAGTGCTAAAGATATAAATATTAAAAACAATGGTTCTTGCTCTGGAGAGAAAGACAGATTTGCATACTTTTAGATTACAACATAATGTGGTAAACACAAATGCAGTGACAAAAGCAATAAACTGTGGAAATTTAGAGAATGGGGCAACATTCCCTGGGGAAACTAGAGCTTTCAAAGGCTGTATTACCTCATCTGGCTCTTAAAATGAAGGTAAGACTTTTCCAGCTAACAAGTAGATGGAATGAACTAGGTAATGAAAAGATCTGATCAGTTTAGAAGTTGTAGGGAAGACTCATGAAGGCAATAGAGAAGAAAAAGGAGGGCAGAATCGTTACTGCAGGGCAGACATAGGGGTAATTAGGGCACCAGCTTCTGCAGTAACTTGTACTTAAAAGTAAAAATTTAGATTGTGTACAGAGAGCAGTATGGAACATTGGCTCAATGTCCTTGAATTTGCATCTTGGAATTCCCTTCGTGCTTAAGTTTCTGTGGATTGTGAACTTCAAAGAGTAAGCTTTGCTTTAAGGAAGAGAACTTTCACTGAAAGATCATAGGTTGGTGGGTCACTAGGTTTGTACCTGGACCTGATGTTATCTCCCGCATCGTGCTTAAGAAACACTACGTGCTGTAGAAACAATTGTGGAATTAAATTGAAAGCATGGGCTTGGCCCAAAACTGCTTCTTAGTGAAATCACAATAAAAATTATATTTGCTGAAACAATCCTGACCCACATATACTTAAGCCCGTATTCTAACATGAGAGGCTTCTTATCCACAACTTGATGGTTCTAATTAGGAAGGTGACTCTCAAACCATTTACTGTCTTGAGAAGAACTGAGATGGAATCTTGAAAAGATGGAAGCAGATTTCACCCCACGACAGATGAGCATTTCCCATCATAAATTGTCCTTGTCTAAAGTATTAGGGGTAAAAATATTTTACTCCATTTCTGTTTATTTTTATGCCATACAAGAGGGCATAATTGTTTAACCTGCTCGAGTCAGGATATGTTGCAGTAAGTTTCTATTCGTATTCTGAAAGCTGATTGTCCAGTTGCTTAATTGGTTATCAAATTAGAAAATGGGAATCTAGAAAACTAAGAATCTAAATTTGAAAAAATGGATTTCTTCTCTTTATCATAACTAGCTTAAGAGTCCTTCCTAAAATATTTTCTTAAGTATCTATTAAATGAACCTATAGTCTAGACTTACATGATCACACTGTATTTGTAATCTATTATTTGGCCAATGTGGTCTGAATTTTGTAATGGGTATGTCTTGGTATATAGTAATTAAATTATAATTAAGTCAATTTAGATGAAATCTCCTAGTGTTTACACTTAATTTGAAGGCAATAATAGTACATCACAGTACATGTTAAGCACACCAAATTGCCTGATGCAGTGTCTTTATTAACAAATGAACATTGAGGAATACTACTCAGCCATAAAAAGGAATGAAATAATGCCATTTGCAGCAACATGGATGGACCTAGAGATTATCATATTAACTGAAGTAAGTCAGACAGAGAAAGACAAATATCAGATACTATCACTTGTATGTGGAATCTTTAAAAATGATGCAAACTTATTTACAAAACAGAAAAAGGCTCTTGGACGTAGAAAACAAACTTATGGTTACCAGTGGGGAAGAGGGGAGGGAGGAGGAGTTTGGGATTGGCAGATACATATTATTATGTAGAGGATAGATAAACAGCAGGGTCCTACTGTATAGGTGTTATATATACATAAAACTGTATTCAATGGCTTGTAGTAGCCTGTAATGAAAAAGATATGAAAAAGAATACATATGTTAAAAAATGACTCCAGACTGATCAACTTCATGTAGAGTATGAATAAATTATAAATATCTGGTGATAAATTAGAAAAATGTTTTTAAATAAATGAACATTGAAAACTATAACTTAGTAAAATTCAATCTTAGCAAAATATGTAAATCGAGTCATGATCTCTCCAAATGAAGGCCACTATTTTGCACTATACATAAGGGATTTTTTTCCCCCTAAAAAGTTACGTGCTTCAGGTACCATTGTATATTTCTTCTACTTTCTATGACCTAAATTACAATAAACTAAATTCCAGTTTCCTATGCCCTGAGCTCATTTGCCCATGAGTGAGGTGGGCAAGTAAAAAGCAAAGATCTGTTTCCTAGCATCCTCCATTTCATTAGCTGATGTTAAGTAGAGGGTCTCTCAGTGTCTATTTTCAAAATCGAAGGTTTTTCATCTTTTATCCACTGTCCATACAGTCCAGTGGTGTTTTTTTGCATATACTCTTATTCAACTAGGGCATTTTTATCATTGCCATGGAGATGTCCCTCCATGCCCTCTCAGCCACCACAATTTAAATGTATTCTTGATGATAGTTATTACATATCTATGTGTTTACACCGTTCATCATTTTTTAAAATGCATTAGCATTTAGGAATGGAAATCCCCTAATAACAAAAGATGCTTTTCATCAATTTTATTCTCTGGCTTTCTAATGCAGTCTGGGTCCGATCATGTCCATTTAGAACTAGAGACTTCATTATGTATAATTTTCACCAACCTGGAATAAAATGAAATAACGGCAGCTATTGTCTCTTTCTTTTCCTCTGTTTGGCAAAAAAAAAAAAGAAAAAAAAAAGCTATTTCGTATTGTGATTTATCGCTCATGTCATGAAGTGGCCGGTTCTCTAAACTAAACACTATACAAGAGAATAAACTATAAAAAGAATCATTTTTTTAAGCTCTAAGAAAAAAAATAAAATTTGATCCTTTGTCATGTTCTCTAAATGATAATAGACTCATGTCCAATAACTTGTCTCCTCAGGGCTACTTTCAAGAGAAAAAAAAGTAGGGGAAAAAAACATGTTTCCCTGGGCTTATGGGCTTAAAGCACTTTATAAAATTTATGCTCAGATAGTCCCTTGATAACCACACTAAACTGTACAGCAGTTTTCTAGTCATTTGTATTTTAGTTCATACAAGTAAGAAATGGAAGAGGTTTTTTTTTTTTTTTTTTTTAATTCTTTACAGGATAGAAGCTTGACTTTTAGTCAAGGCTTTCCAGGATGATAAGACCAACAATTTGGGTAAACTGAAAGAAAACAATTTCCTTCCACTGATGATCACAAAAAGAAATGTTTGAGGTTTTTATTTTAAACAAAATGATGTAAATAAATGAACATTTCTTGAGGAATTAAAAAAAAATTTTTAACAGAGCCTCATGTTTTAAACCATACCATGTGGTTTGCGTGGTATACTTTTAGACACTGCGTTTACCAGGCTTGATTTTAAACCTCTTAAACGCAGAGCACTGACTTTTTAAAGATGCAAA